CGGGATTTTGTTGAGTTTTCTGTGTATAAGATCATATCATCTGCAAATAGAGACACTTTGACTTCTTCCCTACTAATTTGGATGCCCTTTAGTTTTTTTTCTAGCCTAATTGTTTTGGCTAGGACCTCCAGCACAATGTTGAATAAGAGTGGTTATAAAGGGCATCCTTGTCTGGTTCTCACTAACATTCTTTTTCATATCCTCAGTTTTCTCACCCATAAAATAAGGTGAAAATCTACTTACCTTAACAAGATTGCTCTATTATGAATGCATTCATTCTTTTGTTCATTCGTTCACTTATTTTAATGGCAAAATACTGCATATTAATACATGGAAAATTTAAATATGTAACTCAATTAGCTTCTTACAATAAAAATGAATAAGTTTATTCAGTACAAGTTACAGTGTCATAGTTACCTAACTTTCTATGATTGCCAATTTAGGCTGAGTTATGACAAACTTAAGGTAAGTCTACATGTTTGTAAGTGGATTATCTTTTTTTTTAAGATTCTAACTCTTTGTAATTATTAAGTTGTTCATTCCACTTTTTAAAACCACTTCTTAGTGATTTTTGGGACATTGCAATGAGCAACAAAAATACCACTGTCCAAATCATTATAAGTTAGCTAGAATAAACTTCAGTTAATAGATAAGTTTCAGTTTTCAAATAATAAATCATTACCACTTGAATCTATTACTAGAATCTTCTATCTCTAGTATTTGTCCTTTTAGACAAGGTCCATGAGTCAGATTCAGTGGTTATGGGAGTCAAATAAAATCGTAAGTAAAATACCATATTATGTTCCTATCTACATTTTTTTTTTCTGGGCAAAGAGCTCTAGATTTCATCAGATAAAATTCCCATGAAAATATTAGATGTCATCATATTACCATTTTACAAATATATGGATTTATTCCATCTCCATTTTTGTTCTAATTGTGACTATCATTTATCTTCACTTGCACTTTGTACTCTAGGGAGAGTAATTCCCCAGAAAACATTAGATATTTTTTTTGAGTTAACCTTTCTTCCTGAAAGACAAACATTTTCAGGAGTTATTTCAAGGGATAGTACTGAATCTTTCTAATTATTTACCTTCCTTCTAATTTGATATGCTCTTTGAATCAACAAATCTGTTTCAGCCTTTGAATCTACTCAGTATGCTTTTCAAGCAAATCCATACCTTCCATAAGTTACCTCATTTTATCCCATATGTCATATGTGGCAAGCATGAATGCATTTATAATCTTTGTAACTTTAATAGCCCGATATGCCAGAATAACTATTTAGGACTGAAGACTAAGTTTTTTAATGAATGGTGCAGTGTAGTGAATTACTTAATATGGCCCTTCTAGCCAGTTTTTGTAACTCTCACCAAATGACTGGATGGAACTATACAAATGAGTTGCTTGTGGCCCACCAAGGGGACCGGATAGCTAGCTAATAATGTAAATCAGGTGCACAGCACCCTTGTGCGGGTGGAACCGTGCAAATAAGGTGTTTGGAACCCTAATGAGGGGATTGGTTGGTTTTGCCATGCCACTAGGCTTAAAATGAGCCATCCCAGAGGTGGGAAAGGAGGATCTTACCACCACCAATAAAGAGCCAGGAGTGGAGCACATCCTTTGAATCCAGGATCCCTGAGCTGAGAAGCTCCTGGAACCAAGACAGAGACAGAGAGAGCTGTAACAACGAAGACGGCAAGAAGTAACAGCAGAGAAATGGTGGCAGCAGAGGCAAATCCTCAGGAGACTGGCAGGAGATGACTTAGTGGACTCCCTGGCCCACAGAGCGAGAAAGCTGAGTGCCTTCAGGGTAAGGCTTACTGGCAGAGTAGGGTGCCTCTGGGCACTTATTGGCAGATCTAAAAGAGCTTTGTAACACTTGCCTGAGCAAGACAGAGGCTGGGCCAAGGGGCCAAGAGGCTGAGGGGTCAAAGAGAGGTTTGCCTGTGGGCACGGCTGAGAAGAGGTTGTCCTGATCGAAGACCATATCTTGAGCATTCCTGAAACTCTTACTTCCATAATAAATCCCATAACTGTGAGTATGGTCTGTGAGTTCTGTGTGGCCATTGCAATGAATTATTAAACCCAGTAGAGAAGTAGAAAGTGCTGTGGGAGGAATGCTTGGTGGCAGAATTTGTAAAAAGGATGGAGGGTGGAGGCATATCTGACTTCCGCCTCATAGGAATCTGCCTTGGGATGTTGTTCTTGATTCTCCTTCCTCCTGATGAAGTTAGAAGAGGTCAGGTACCTCCACTGCCATGCCATTTTTGCAAATGGATAGCACTGATATTAGAATATAGATAAGAAGGCAAAAGCAGATGGACATGTTTGCATTTAGATATTGGAAGAGTTTCAGGGAAGATAGGTCAAAGTTTTCTTTTAGGCAAGTTTGCTAGTTCCCTTTGGAACAGCTGAATTCTCTCTGAGCTACTACCACTTGTTGAGTCAATCAATTACATTTAAAAATAGATAATAACCAAATCATTTAAAACCGTAAAATAAAAAAGGTACATGAGCCACTGAGAAAATATTTTAATTGAAAACTTAAGTAATTGAGAAAAAGTTATGTAATTGGCCAAAGGTCATGCTTTCATGATAATTTTAACATTTGAAAATGCAATATGAGTCCCTTTCTGGTATATTTACAAAGAGAAAAGTTACAACATAAAATACATTGTTTTTCAACAAATATTTTAGATTTTAATAATACTTGTCTATTTCCATGTAAAGCACATTTTTATTTGTATATTATCCACGCAGTGAATGGCATTTTTTCTTCTTTTAAAAACATACAACCAAACATCAGCAAAAATGGCAGAGTAAGGACTTCTGAAAATTTACCCCTCCATAGGGTCATTATAGGGTTGCTATGAGCCTGAATTTACTCAATGCCAACAGGTTTGATTTTTTTTTTTTTTGGCTTAAAAGCAATAAAACCTGATTTAAAAAATGTCAGAATCAACTTTTTCAGTAACTGTGGAAATGAATCAAAGGCTTGCAGCAACTGGTGGTGTTTATTCAAGAAACATGGCTGACTCTAGTAAGAACAGTGAGTTTTGTAAAGTTTTAATTTGCCTATGTCCCCCTCCTCAACTCAGTGGTAGCTTTGACAAATAACAGCTCACATTCCAGGTACCAGAGGGAGAAAATGTGGCTGGAACTCTTAAAAAGCCTCGTTCCCATAGTATTGTCATTATGTGACTTGTCTGGTGGTTCCCTAGAAGACCTCCACTGGAAAGGCTTGTATTTATTTGATCTAACTGGGAGCTTTCCCATGCTGAAAATCTTTCCCTTGAAGTTGTTTGTTGAAAACATTTACAGACAAGTGTTTTAACATCATGGCTGCCTGAAGCAGTGCATAACAATTAGCGCAAAACCCAGACTAACATGAAAAGCTGTGAAAAGAAATATTGTGCAGTAATGAATCACCAGGTTGTAGTTGTTAGCTGCTGTCCAATTGGTTCTGACTCATAGTGACCTTATGTACAATAGAATGAAACAGTGCATGGCTCTGCACCATCCTCACAATCGTTGCTATGGTTGAGCCCATTGTTTCAGCCACTATGACAATCCATCTCATTCAGGGTCTTCCTCTTTTTCGATGAACCTCTGTTTTACCAAGCATAATGTCGTTCTCCAGGGACTCGTCCCTCCTGATAACATTTCTAAAATAAGTGAGATGAAGTTTCACCATCTTCACTTCTAAGGAGCATTCTGGCTGTACTTTTTCCTAGACAGATTTGTTTGTTCTTCTGGCAGCCCATGGTATATTAAATATTCTTTGCAAACACCATAATTCAAATGCATCAATTCTTCTTCAGTCTTCCGTATTCATTGTCCAGATTTTGCATGTATATAAGTCGATTGAAAATATCATGGCTTGGGTTAGGGGCACATTAGTCCTAAAAGTGATATCTTTGCTTTTTTAACACTTTAAAGAGGACTTTTGCAGCAGATTTTCCCAAACTTATTTCACCATACTTATTCAGTCTGTATGCTGAGAAGATAATCTGTAAAGCTGGACTATATGAAGAAGAATGTCACATCAGGATTGGAGGAAGACTGATCAACATCCTGCAACATTCAGATGACACAGCCTTGCTTGCTGAAAGTGAAGACAACTTGAAGTACTTACTGATGAAGATCAAAGATAACAGCCTTCAGTATGGATTACATCTCAACATAAAGAAAACAAAAATCCTCACAACTGGACCAATAAGCAACATCATCATAAACTGAGAAAAGATTGAAGTTGTCAAGGATTTCATTTTACTTGGATCCACAATCAATGTCCATGGAAGCAGCAATCAAGAAATCAAAGCATGTATTGCACTGGGCAAATATGCTGCAAAAGACATCTTTAAAGTGTTAAAAAGCAAAGGAATCACCAAAGGGAGGGGAAGATTTAGCTTTTGTACTTGGTTCCTGAGAGATAACCCTTGAAATTTCCTGAGTAATTGAGGTGCCTTTATTATGTAAAACTTCCAGACCACACCTGAGGATTGGTGCCCAACCATTAGGTGACCACTAAGCTAATCGAGTAGAGACTTGAATGGGTACAAATTAAAAGGAATATAGACTTTACAAAAATAGTTTAAAAATTCATGAAACAAACAACAGGAATCCACAACAAGTAGCAAGAACAAACCCCAGGAGGGAGGAGAACCTGACTCCCAAAGTTGCCGTATTATAATATTCAAACTATACAGTTTCCGGCAAACAAAAAAAAAAAGAGAGAGAGATGTGGAAAACAGAAAGTATGGCCAATTAACAGCCAAAAACAAAACAAAACAAAAAACAATTAGTAGAAATTGCCATCAGAAGGTCTAAACATTAGACTTACTAGACAAAGATTTTACATCGGCTTTTTAAAATATGTTCAAAGATCAAAAAGAAACCATAGATGAAGAACTAAAGGAAAATATGAGAACAATGTCTCACCTAATAGAGAATATCAACAAAGACATAGAAATTTTAAAAAGAAAACAAATATTATTCACTTCAGCAGAACATATACTAAAATTGGAATGATACAGAGATTTCCATGGCCCCAGCACAAGAATGACATGCAAATACATCAAGCATTTTATATTGTTAAATTGATATTGATATGAACTAGATTGTTATAAATTAAGATATCAATGGTAATCCCAAAGGCAATAACTAAAATATATATATTAAAAATGACTAAGGAATTAAAATGATGCATGAAAAAATACCTTTTTAATACAAAAGAAGAGAGTAAAGGAGGAACTGAGGACTTAAAAAGGCAAACTATATAGAAAATACGTAGTAAAATGACAGATAAAAATACTACATTATCAGTAATTACATTAAATGCAAATATATTAAAATCTCCAATTAAAAATCAGAGAATGGAATAATTGATTAAAAAAAGACATTGTCCAATTACATGCTGTCTACAAAAGACTCACTTTACAGTCAAAGACACAAATAAGTTGAAAATAAAACAATTAAAAAAGAATTAGACATTTCAACAATCTTCACATGTACAGTTCAGTGACATTAATTATGTTCAACAGTTTGTTCAACCATCACCCTTATCCATTCCCATATTACACTATCATCCTTAAAAAAGCTCAGTTTGTCCTAAGCATTGATTGTCTCTTTCTCCCTCCTTCCCACCCACCCTTGGTAACCACTAATAACCTTTGGTCTCTATACACTTGCCTATTCTAGATATTTTGTTTCAGTGGGATAATACAATGTTTGTAATATTGTGACTAACTTGCTTCAATCAGCATTATGTTTTCAAGGTTCATCCATGTTGTAGCATGTATCAGGACTTCACTTCTTTTTATGGCTGAGTAATATTGCATTGTATGTATGTACCACATTTTCTTTACCCGTTCATCTGCTGATGGACATTTAGGCTGTTTCCACTTTTTGGCTATTGTGAATACTGCTGCAATGAACATCACTATACAAGTATCTGTTTGTGTTTCTGTTTTCTATTTTGGGGTATATACCTAGCAGTGGAATTGCTGGATCATATAGTAATTATATGTTTAACTTTTTGAGGAACTGCCAAATTTCCACAGTGGCTGTACCATTTTACAATACCACCAGCATGGAAGAGGGTTTGTATTTTTTCACATCTTCACCAACATCTCTTGTATTTTGTTTCTGTTTGTTTGTTTGTTTTTTTGTTCTTTATCATAACAATCCTAGTGAGTATGAAGTAACAGCTCATCAAAACATAAAAAACATATTATAAAGCTACAGTTATCAAAACAGATTTATACGGGTATAATGATAGACATAATGAGTAAAGGAATAGAATTGAGAGTCCAGAAATAAATCCATACATCTATGGTCGATTGATTTTCAATAAGGGTGCTAAGTCCATCCAATGGAGAAAGAATAGTCTCTTTAATAAATGTTGCTGGAATAACAGGATTTCTACAAGCAAAAGAATGAGACTGGAACCATACTTCATGCCACATAAAAAAACTAACTCAAAATGGATCAAAAACCTAAATGTAAGAACTGAAACCATAAAACACTTAGATGAAAACATAGTGTTAATGCTTTGGGACCTAGTTTTTAACAATGGATTCTTAGATTTGACGTCAAAATCATGAACAACAAAAGACAAAATATCCAGAATAATATCCAGAATATAATATCCAGAATATATAAACAACTTTGTTTGCTGAAAGCGAAGAGGACTTCATCTACTGATGAAGAACAAAGACTACAGCCTTCAGTATGGATTACACCTCAACGTAAAGAAAACAAAAATCCTCACAACTGGACCAATAAGCAACCTCATGATAAACAGAAAATATTTAATTTGTCAAGGATTTCATTTTGCTTTTATCCACTGTCAACACTCATGGAAGCAGCGGTCAAGAAATCAAATGACCACTGGCCAGACTGACAAAAGAAAAACAGGAGAGGACACAAATAACCCAAATAAGAAATGAAATGGGGGACATTACAACAGACCCAACCAAA